ACGTGAGCAAGTTCATCTGGGCTCCTAACTTGGGCTGATTTGCAGAGTTCACATTATAGCTTTGACGGAGTGCTTTTGACATTTGGTTGTCTGATGTTGACTATTACCCCAGAATGATGCATTTTTATAACCCTCGTTTGTACTCTTATAAGCCTGTGCAATTAAACTCCCCCTGCAGTTTGAAGAACACAGATGGCACATGGCACAGTGACCGTGACCAATGTGGACTGTTCCTCCTTGTGCCTCGTTGAATGCTCCAAAAGATGTAACCAGGCAGCCAATGAAGCCCCCTTTCCCCTCAGATCCTCAGACTAGACAGGGGAGTGTGGATTCTTCTTATTTTGGGTTCTTCTCCCAGGATAGAGTTGGGATCACTCTCCTGATACAAGTGTCATGAATGAAGCAAGAGTCGCAGATCTGTGTTTAGGTTTCCCCAGCCCTGGCTTTCAATGAAGGGTGAAAGGCTATTCCATGCAGCCCCCACTACAGTGGCAAATCCTCTTCCACTCACCCCAATTTTACCACCCTGTCTTCTCCACCCAACCTCAGTAACTCCAATTTGCCACGTGGGACAGATCTGTCTCGCAGACTGACTAGGCAAAGACTGCAGAATGAGTTCTGCCACACTTCTCCATGGCACCTGGAAGTCTAACGTAGAAATCCCTGGCCCCCTAACATCCTATCTTCCCAGGGCCATGATGAGCAAGAGTCGACAAGTGACATGCCGGCTGCTTGGCCTCACCCCTGTTGAGGGGTCCTGTGGTCACTTTTATGCATCACGGTTTGGCCTGTTCCCCCTTAGGCCCATTCGCACTGCAGTTAGGATCTCCCTCCTCGCTTTGCTTCCCCAAGCTGTGCCTCCGTGCTCTTAGGAAATGCCAAGGAGAATTATACAACTTGAACTAGTTTGCCATGCTGCTGGGACACTCGTCTGTTACTGATTTCTTCTTCTTTTTATTAAAAGCATGTCCGTGTCCCTTGCTCAGAAACCTCTGCGTGTATGGGCACAATTACCGAAATGCCGAGTCATCGCATCCCACCTATTGAGGAATGTCAGCCTCTGGGACATGAAAACATTGATCTTGCACAACACTCGATGAGCTGAGACTTTGTCATGAAACGAGGGCTTCTTTTCCTTTTAAAAATTACTTTTATAGACCAGAACGCTGTAAGACGGTTGGAACTTTTTGTGTTTGGAATCCTTTAGGGTTTTATGACCAAACCTTCAATAGCATTGTTTTTACTTTAAAAAAAAAAAAAAAAAAAAAAGGGGGTTTTCATCCCAGCACAACAGTGATGTTCCTTGTGTTTGACATGCATGTCCTTGTGAGTGGCAACATGCAGGTTCAGTGAGGAGAGCTTTGGGGAACCAGAATGTAGCAGCTATTGCCTCTGTTTCCAACAAGGTGTAGAAGTGATTCAAGCAGAACTTTCTATGGATGGAAGTTGTTTAGTAGATAAGGCAGGGCTGTGTTTCCCTGTCATCTTCCTTGAATGTACCTTGAGTTGAGTGGAAGGGATGAGAATGTGGAACTGCAGAGGTAGGGTATGTGAAGCACATGTTCAACCAGGCGAAGAGAGGATTCTCAAGGAGTGAAACTGAAGCCACAGGCCCTGCTCATACCCTCTCCCCTTGTTCTAAACTGAATTGAGGACAAGACCCACCAGGTCAAGGTATGGTTTCTGGATTCCACTCACATGCCAAAGAAGCCACTCTCCTGCAGGACTCCCTGCCATCGCCAGAACAATGTGCCCAAGGAAGCACCATCAACTGAGTTAGCCAGCCCCCTCCTTAGAACATCCGAATGGATCTAGCCAAGCCAGAACTCATCAATTTGTTTTCAAGGGACCAGGACCAGAAATGAAATAGATACTTTTCTTCCCAATTCTACTGCCCTTTTCAATCACCTTGATGCTTCACTCAGTTCTCTTTGGCACATCACTGTCCCTCTCAGTCCTTGGTTACTCTGGAGGAGGCTCTGACTCAAAGGAGCCTGGTTCACAAGCTTATTAGGCAGACAAGCAAACAAACAAAGTTCTAATGTTTCCTGTGGCCTCTTCTTCAAGCTACCAGGCCAGTGCCTGAGGCTTCTCGATGCCCTTTGATTCTCATTGCACATGATCTCACTCTTTAGCTGCCCACTTCTCGCTTCTTAGAGATGTTAGTTTTTCTCAGAATGACTAAGTTGCAGAGGAAAGGTTTTCTGATTCCAGGATGATTTGAGATCTCTGAAACCTTTTCTAAAATAAAATTTAGATTTTAAATTTAAAAATGTCTTAAGGGACTCATACATGCTGATTCATTCACTCTACACATTTTTATTGAGCACCTACTCTAGGCCATGCACTGTGCTAGGTACTGGGTGTACAATGATGACCAGAAAAGACAAGGTCACTGCCCTCATGGAATTTAGTTAAATTGAGTAGTCAATTAAAACCTGTGAAAATGCCTTGAAGGACTGAACAGAGGGCAGTGATAGAGGGAAATAGAGGAATCTTCTTGGTATAGCCAGAGAAGGTGGTGTTTCAACTGAGACCTAATGACTGAGAAGTGAGAGTGGTAGGGAGAAAGGGTGAGAATGGGAATGTGGGGCTGGGAGCTGAAGGCTGGGTGGGTAGGAGCTGGGAAAAAGGAGAAGGGGGAGCAGAGGAAATAGTATCTACTGAGGTGGGAGATGCTTGCATGATTGAGGATCCCCATGGTGGCCAGCAGAGCAGAGCACGCAATGGAGGGGAAGGGAAACCCAAGAAGAGCGGAAGTCGGGTCATGGTAGGGCTTAAGGATCACAGCAAAGAGTGTGGGTTTTATTCAGATTCAATAGGAAAATGATTTGTGTCTTTAAAATATGCTTATGGCTGCTGAGGTGAGACCTGATTATAGATAAGATTATAAATGGGGAGATTATAAGTGTGAGCCAGATGAGAGTGATGATAACTCCGACTTGAGTAGAGTCAGAGAGGCAGATGGGCTTATTAGTCGGAGGTGGCGATAAGAGGACTTGATGTGGGGCTGAAGGAGTGGCCAGAGTCAGGTTGACTGGCAGGTTTCTGATTTAAATAACAGTGTATGTGAATGACATTTACTGAGGTGGGAAAGACAAGGGAAATCCTTAATTCTATAATCCTATCAAGGCAGTGATTATTATGGTTCCAATGAGAAGATTACTCAACTTATTATTGGTTTAATGTTTCTGAAACACATTATTGGTTTAATCTTTTTGAAACACAGTTTGCCAGACCACAATAATAGTTTGGCAGCTGACCAGATCATCAGTGCTTCAGGACCACAAATAGATGCTAATAGATATTTTGATTGATAGCAACATTATCTTAGGAGACCAAGTTAAATTCCTGAAGTTCTACCCTGAAAGAACAAGGAGACCCTCTGAATGATTGGACTCTTCATTTGAACCCCTGCACTAAATCTGTGCTGTGAGGAGCTAAGAACTCCTGTTCCTGTTCCTTTTCTTTTCTTTTTTTTTTTTTTTTTTTTTTTTAGAAGAAATGCATTGTAGCATCAGCTGGGAGGCAGAGGGTTGGGAGGGTCTTATGACCAGATTAAGAAAAAACTAGTCATCTTCAGAACCTCTCTTATATTAATCCTGTGGAGGGTAATTTACATAGTTCATTTTGAAACCAAGTAACAGATTCTTAATTGAATTTTCCCAAGAAGCAGTTCTTAAAAATAGAAAAGAAAAAAAAAACCCTGAACATTCAAGAGGCCTTATTCCTTCATTTCCGTTAGGCCTAGAGGGTGCCCTGACCTAGCTCCACGCTAGAGGGCCCCTCTTTGGCCCTCCTAAGTCCTGGCCCTCTCTGTGGGGTGAGGAATTTGCAGGGCCAAAGAGATGTGCCCACCCAGAACCTGTGTTCTTCCTTCTAGACCACGTTTCAGACACCAAAATCCCAGAATTCCCCATTCCAAACGGGGGCTGGGGATTGGTCCTCCTCATACAACCCTGTTTTCTGGCACAAAACTCTAAGGAGTTTGCCCTGGCCTTCCAGGTTGTCGAGGACAAGGATAGAGCCTATTTTAAGTTTGTTAGTGTGGTGTGTGTGCCCAGCCATTGTTGGGGCAGACCTGAGTTCTCCCCACTGCAGTGCGTCAGCGCAGTGAGGACTGGTTATCGGTGCTGTGGCAGATGGTTTTGAGGGCAAATATTGGCCTCTCTACAATGAGGTTTGTGAATGGAGTTTATATAAAGTAACTCACTCTAGCAGAAGGTCTCGTGAGCTGGGGTCGCTAACCACGCTCACAGTTGGGCCCTGTATGCACCGTCAATGTAAGAACATCCAAACCGGTAGGCATTTTTATGAGGGTTTATTTGAGCCAAATTGACGACATGCCGGGGAGCAGGATCTCACAATGCCCCAGAGAAAGGCAGCTTTGCTGTTACTCACATACATTTGGAATTAAGGAGGGAATGTAAGGTCAGTTACCTGAAGGTGGGAGACAGCAAGGCAAGGGGATAGCTAACAAGAGTAGGTGCCCCCTTGAGAGTGGTTACCTCCCAAAGGGGTCTGATAAAGAGGGTTACCATGGCATTTCAAAGGTGTGTAAACCTCGATGCACGAGAGCAAGGGACAGGGCTTGCTTGAGCCTTTTTGTAGGCCTGGAGCATGACTGCCCCATTAGACATTTATGATCAGAGCAGCCCCTGAGGTTACTTTCCATTAGCTTACTTTCAGAGCCCCTTTGTCCTCCATGGCACTTAACCCTGGCTGAGGTCTTGGGGAGCAGGAGGAGCCTGAGCAGAGTAGAGCCATGAGTTCCTGTCCTGGAAGGAATAAACATCTGTGGGACAGCTGGGCATTTTTCCAGACTCTGATGGGAGCGGGGAGGGCCTGGTTTCACCACCCAGTGTAACCATTGTCTTAAAGTCCTGCAGGACCTCAATAACACCTCTCTCTCTTCTTCTCCCTCTTCCTGATCCCCTCTCCTTTCTCCACTCCCACCCCTCCTTGCCTTTTCTCCTTCCCCTCTCTCTCATCTTCTGCAGTAAACCGCTCCCCTTCACGCTGCAGCGGGTTGAACCGCTCCGAGTCTCCCAACCGTGAGCGCAGTGACTTTGGGGGCAGCAACACCCAGCTGTGCAGTAGCAACAACCTCTACACTCCTGACTACTCAGTCCACATCCTCAGCGACGTGCAATTTGTGAAGGTAACCGCCCCCGGGTACCGTCCCCTCCATCCTGGCGGCAGAGGTGGCTGGGGAAGCGGGTCAGGATGTGCATCACATTCCCCTGTGATCCAAGATAATGTGATGATGAGGTTAAACCTCGAAAGCCAGAGCCCATGACTCTTGTCCGCATTGCTCCCAGCCCTGAAGCCCTCTCATTGCAGACCTTCCTCGGAAGTGGAGGTAGGAAAAAATGGGAGAAGAGAGATTCTAATATGCTAGCTCTTATGGTTTGTCGTACTGGCCACATGACTTGTGGGAAAAGAAATGGGAAGTCACAACAGAGTAAGTGGTTCAAATATTTACTGAATGCCTGCACTGCACTTGGCTCTGTCCAGGCATTGGTGAGTTACTGGAGCCAAACAAGACAGCAAGCTCCTGCCTTTCTGTACCTTCCCTGCTACTAGGGGGAGAAAGATGATTAGCAGGCAACCACATAGATAAAACCTAGACGATGACGGAAATGTACAGGGTGGAGGGATAAATGGAGGCTGCTTTAGAAATGGTTGTCAGAGCAGGCCAAGCCAAGGGACATTTTTGCTGAGACCTGAAAGGGAAGGTGAGGAGAATGTTCCAGACAAACAGCAGGCAGGAAAGAGCTGGGGGTTCAAGGGTCTGAGCACAAAGGCAGAGCTGGTGTGAGATGAGACTGGAGCGATAGCAGCAATGTCACCTGGCATTTTGGGCCAGAGTATGGCCTTTGGATTCTCTCTTTGAACTGGGGATTTTTGTTAGGTTTGTTTCTCAGGTCTTTCCATTTGTCTTAGTTCATTTGGGGTGCTCTCACAAATTACCATAGGTGGAGTGGCTTAAACAACAAACACTTATTTCTCACTGTTCTGGAGACAAGGCGTCCACGTTCTGGGTGTGGTCAGGCCCGGTGTCTGGTGAGAGCCCCCTTCCTGGTTAGCAAATGAAAACCTCTGATTGGAATGGGTGGTTCTATACAAGGGAATCTGAAAATTCAAACTTAGCACAGCTTTTGTTTTATTTTGGTGTTGGTTTCTCTTTAGCTTTGTGTTGTTGTTTTTTTGTGTTTTTTTTAATGTAAGTTAAGATGATGCTTTAGACTAAAGTTAAAAATTCCCTCCTGATTTAATGGACTAGCTAGGGCCATGATGTAGACTCTCTTTTACTGACCTCTCCCACCCCAACCCCCACCCCTTTTTTTTTTTTTAACAGAGTTTTTGAGAACCTAGAGAGAAACTTGTACAAAAACAGTGTTGGTGGGAGCCGCTATGGCTGGCTGCAGGCAGTTTGTGAGGGCTTTCCATGTCCAGAGAGTATGAAGTTCCAGAACTGGTTATGACATCCAGAAGTAAACTGACTTCATAATATGTTACAAAATTAGATAGAAAAGTATGCCTAGTGATTAAGATATTAAAGCTGTGGTTAATAGTGGTTAATAAGCTATGAAGATATCAAAGAATCTTTATGCTTTTTTTTATGTGTTTTGTAAATGTCATTATTAAACTAAGGATGTTTGGTTAATGACATAATCTGGCTTGTGTGACTGCAAGCAAGATGCCTCATCACCATCTGGTGGCAGAATCCCTAAATTGCAGGATCGTGTTTTGAGGGATGAATGTTATTAAATGACAGGAAACATCACATGGGTTAAAGGTGAACCTCTGACTAGGACGCTGAAGGCCTGCTAACTCTCAAACTTTAGGCAAGTGCTTCAACCTTCCTAGACCTCACTTCCTTACTCAGAATATAGGCCACAAGAGACCTCTTGCGCCCGCCCCATACAGTCATTATGACTAGCAAAGCTGATAGCACATACCTACGTGCTCTGTAAGCCGTTATGCACTATATAGATGGAAGGTTCCGTCTTCATATCTCAACCTCTACCTGAAAAAGCAAGCCCTTCTGGGTAACATTAGCACTAGAGCTTCCACCCAACGTCTGAAAACAATCTCCAATTCCATCTCTTTAGGATACTTATAGTACTTCCAATAGTATGTGTGTATGTGTGTGTGTGTGTGTGTGTGTGTGTGTGTGTGTGTGTAAAATATGATTTCAATAAATAAACACTTAAACTATATTTTAAGTTAGAAACTGATAAGAGATTGTAAATCAATTTGGTTAAAAAAAAACTATCAGGAATAAGTTTGATACTGAAAGTAAATAGTAAATTTATCTGTGAACTTCCTGGTCATAAAAATAAAAAGCAGGAGCAGTGGATCTTTAAGTTCCCATCCGATAGAAGGAAGTATATAATTCACCTAGAGAAAGGATCTTCTTTCTGGCAATAATTTCTTGAAGGATATAACTATGGAAGGCTTCAAAACACACACACACATATTGGCTTCATCTGCAGCTTTGCCAGAGTTCATGTTCTTCATTTGGAAGTTTCTTACTTCAGCCTTCGACACAAGCTGGGGGTCTCATTCTTGCCAAGCCCCCACTGGCTGACCCTTAGGAAGAGGGCTCTTGGCAATAGTATAAGCCTGATTTTTAAACTTCTCTGTGGGCAACCACCCTGCTAACTGAAGATGTCCTCCCTCTATCCTCTCCAGGGTCTCAGGTAAAGACGTAGCTCCTCCAGGCGCACTTTAAGAGTCCAGAGCCGGTACTCAATTGGTTGGGCATTGTCCCATGCACTGAAAGGTTGCCGGTTCAATTCCCAGTCAGGGCACATGCCTAGGTTGCTTGGCTTAATCCCCAGTTGGAGGCATGTAAGGGGAAGCCGATTGATGTTTCACTCTCACAGCAATGTTTCTCTCTCTCTCTCTCTTTCCTTCTCCCTTCCTCTCTCTCTAAAAGTCAATAAAAAAAAATCTTTTTAGAAAAAACAAAAACAAAGATATAAGCATAGCCAATGGACACAGACAGCAGGGAGGTGAGGGCATGTGCTGGGGGATGGGAATGGCTGGGGAGAGCTCAATGGGGGGAAAAGGAGAATATGTAATACTTTACTTTAAACAATAAAGAATTTAATTTTTTTTCCTTTATATATTTTATTGATTTTTTACAGAAAGGAGAGAGGAATAGATAGTTAGAAACATCAATGAGAGAGAATCATCGATCAGCTGCCTCTTGCACACCCCCTTACTGGGGATGTGCCCACAACCAAGGTACATGCCCTTGACCGGTATCGAACCTGGGACCCTTCAGTCCGCAGGCTGACACTCTATTTACTGAGCCAAGCCAGTTTCAGCAAGAATTTAAATTTTTTAAAAGAAAACAAAACAAAAACAAAGAGTCCAGAGCAAATAAAAATGACATTGGGGACTCGGATGGCAAACAAACAAAGGGTCCTCTCATTATCTTCAACCCCTTGCCTGGTACAGCTTGGGTAAGGCCCCTAGTTCATGGACCCCAGATCGTGGAGGCCTGAGTTCCAAAGCACCCGGGTGGGGCTGCGTCTGAGCTTGGGCCACATCTAGGGACGGCTCTCCTCAGCTTCTCCTGAGCTTCTGCTCCTCTCTGCCTCTTCCTTCCAGATCACGCGGCAGCAGTACCAGAATGCGCTCACCGCCTGCCACATGGACAATTCACCCCAGTCCCCCGACATGGAGGCCTTCACTGACGGGGACTCCACCAAGGCCCCCACGACCCGGGGCACACCCCAGACCCCCAAGGATGACCCTGCTGCCATCCTCCTAAACAGGAACAGCCTGCCATGTAAGTCAGCCAGGCGGATGGGCGGGGCTGCCTTGAGGTGAGGACAGCCCTGCCTTCCTCCTCATGGCTGTCCCGAGCTGCCGTCTTGTCCTCATGGAGCCCCGGTCTTCTTCAAAGCAGAGAGGTGACTCACGTGCTGCTCTCCCCAGGCAGTCTCTCCGATGGGCTGAGAAGCCCCGGCGAGGTCGTGTACCTGAGGATGGAGGAGATGGCCTTCCCCCAGGAGGAGATGACAGACTTCCAGGAGCACAGCCCACAGCAGCTCTCGGTGTCTCCTGCAGCCATTCCCGCAAGAGCAGGTCCAGGAGGGGAACTGGGCCCCAGGAGGCAGGGGGGTCACCACCATAGGGCACAGGGAAAGGGGAGCCTGGGATCCCAGCCCCCATGTAACATGTCCCACCTCCTTACGCCTCCTAACATCTACTGAGCAGCTACTGTGCATCAGACCCTGGAAGACAGTGTGTTAGGAACTAGGCTTCCATCTGGGTCCAGGAGCCTGGCTCCTTCACTTAGGAGCTATGCAATTTGGGGCAAGTTACTTTAACTGAAGATTCAGTTTTCTTGTCCTAATAGGTACATTTCCTTGTGATAATAGGTACAGATTGCAGTAACTAGCTCATAAAGTAGCTTTGAGCATCGATGAGATGGCACATACAGAGATTCCAGTGCTTGGTGCCATACTCTCTGAATAGTGCATAGTTGTTGTTAGGCCTACTTTGCAGATAGGACACTGAAGTCAGCCATCACTCTCCCTGGCAATGCTCCTTCCCTTCCTTTGAGGCCCAGGGGCCAGAAGTGATCTGTAGGACTTGTCCTGAGGTCTGAGACGGTATCACTTCCCTCTGAGAACTGGAGGCCTCTGTCTTAGTGGTGGTGGTGCTCTGAGCTTCCCCGTATCCCAGCATCCCAGAGGTCCTTCTGTTCTTGCTTTAAGATATGCTTGAACTTGTAGCTAATGCAGAAAATCTGGGACATACATAATTACTGTTCCAGGGCCTAAATTTAGAACTGATGCTCTTTTTCTCCCACCCACACTGAATTTAGTAGCTAAAACATATACCAAGAAATTGTACCAAGAAATGGTATCAAAAAGGAGATGGGGTAGTCTTTGGAGATTATCTAACCCATCCTCTGTGGCACATAAGGACCCTGAGACCTGGAGGAGGGGAATGACATGGCCCATCGATGTGCTGCATGAGAAGAGGGCTCAGCCTCCTGGCTCAGGCTGCAGTGCCGTGTCCAGCACATCCTTTTGCCTCCCGGGTTAGGTTCTTCCTGCATGGGCACTAAGAGCTGGGCCTTTTCCTGGCTCTGAGATTCTAGGGCTTTCTGCATTCTCACCGGGTTCGGGGGAGAAGACCTGGCATGTGCTTAATTGTTATTGTGCCCTGTGGTTTTCCAGGATCTGTACAAATAGAGAAAGGAGACATCACCATCTGTCCTCAAATGTGCTTTTTGTCTGGCAAAAAATGCTGAGGAGAGAACATCTTATTCCCTTTTCTCTCCTGCCAAACAGGGTTTGAGTAGTAGTTAATTTCCACTCTTGTTCTCAGTCTCTTTGTTCCTTTTGTGGCACTAAAGTGCCCCTTGCTAAAGGCTTCCTGGGCCCTCCTCCCTTGTTGGAACCACTGCTGCCTTAGCACTGGTGCAATACTCTCACCTGCTAAGAAATGTCAGCCAGAATCCTCCCACCCACATCCCTGGGTGTGCACGTGGAAACACTTGTGTTCTTCCTTCTGTCCTTTCAGCATCGGAGAGTGAATGTTGTAATATCAACCTGGAGACAGAGACCAGTCCCTGCAGTAGTGACTTGGAGGAAACCATGGGCAAGAGGCTGCTGAGAACCCTGAGTGAGTATCTCCTCGCCCACACAGAAGCCATCTACCAGCTGGGTAGTAGAAAAAGCATGACAGGCTCTTCCTCATGGAGGAGGAGCCATTGACTCCTTTTGGGAACCCTAGTGAGGAGGATTCATGGGAATCCATCAGAGGCCCTGGGCTCTTGCTGCATCCTTGATAAATGGGGATCAGAGGATGGGAAAGGCATGATCCCGAGGCATCACATGAGCCTTTGTCAGTTCTCTCCAGGAAATCTCCATTCCATTGGCACTAGCCTGGGTTTGTGGCTTTGTAATGCTGTCATCTCAGGTGAAAGGTGCATCCTAGTCCTTCAAAATATAAATATGCTGCCTGGCTGGCATGGCTCAATGGTTGAGCATCAACCTATGAATCAGGAGGTCACAGTTGGATTCCTGGTCAGGGCATATGCCTGAGTTGTGGGCTCGATCCCCAGTGTGGGGTGTGCAGGAGGCAGCCAATCAATGATTATCTCATCACTGATATTTCTATTTCTCTCTCCCTTCATCTTTGAAATCAATAAAAATATATTTTTTGAAAAATGTAAACATGTTGATATCAGCAGCAGGGTACAATGCAGATTGCTTCCTGCCAAACTGTCTCCATTTCTGCTTCTATTTTGAAGAGAACTTGGACCACCAAGAGAGTATGAATGTCCTCCGAGTCCTACAGATTGATCCTTACAAACTGTTTTTCAGGTGGTCGAAAAAGAAAGAGGTCACCCGATGGAGAGAGAGCTTCTGAGGAGAACTCCAATTTAACACCTCTCATCACATGATGGGCAGACAACTGTTGCTGGGTGTGTGACATTTCAGAGCTTTGGGGGAGAGCCCTCCCTCCCATCATCTGCTTCTCCCTCCCGCAGGTGACAGAGCATTCCGCTTCCCTCACCACCTCTTCACCCCTGTCAGTTTGGCAGACTTCCCCTCGTCGCCTCCAGTTGGACTCAGAGCCTTGCGGTGGCCAAGATGGAAGGAGGTGCCTCGAGTGGAACATGCTAGAAATGGCCTTGTCCACAGCACAGTCTGGGACTGGAGAAGACATGACTCAAAGTTGATAATGCCACTCTGGGGCCCCTAATGCCCTTTTTGTTCTTTGAGATCTCAATGCCATATTTCATGCGTAGCTTAGCTCAGAAGGTGCCGCTGACAGGCACAGTGGAGGCTGGAGCAGCAAGCATGACGGTTGTTCAGAAGATGCACCAAGAGTTCCTCCAGAACTTCCGGGCAGCAGGACTCAGCCATGTAGGCATGACGTTACCATACGGAGAACTGTTGGTGACAGGTTTCCTGTTAGATAAGGGCTCCAGCAGCCTGGGAACTGGGGTCTCAGCTGGAGTGGAAAGAATGCAAGACAGAACCTCAAGTCACTGATTTTCCCAGGGACACATCTGCTTTGGCTCCCAATCAGCATTTACTGATCCATCAATCTGCTCTGGAAGAGGAGGAACCGGGAACATAGATCCGATTGGGGGCCAGAGATGGAGCTTCAGGTTTTAAGTTCAAATCAAAGCAAATATATATTTACCCATATGTGTGTGTGTGTGTGTGTGTGTGTGTATGTGTGTGTGTGTATGTGTGTGTATGTGTGTGTGTGTGTGTGTGTGTGTGTGTATATATATATATATATATATATATATATATATATATATATATATAAATTCTAAGCTGTTGAAGCAAGTTTAGCCATGACAAACCAAAGAGTGCCCACGTCAGCCAAGAAGGATGCAAGGTCTCATGGGACTTCAGTGTGCATTGCACAGGAACATTGAAGAGTCATTCCCCTTTTTCATCCTACCCCTTACTGCACCCCAGCAAGTTAGCCATGTGTACTTTATTCCAAGAACATACTAGATTTCTGCCATTTCACTTGGATGTGGGGGCAGGTGCAATTCCAAGCATAACCATCAGATGGCAGGATGACTGCACATACCTACTTGAATAAAAAAAAAAAAAACGTTCTGATCAGGACACAGAGCCAGCCTTAGGGAAAGTGTGGAAGTGAAGGTATTTGGGACCCCAAGTCCCTTTCTGATCTATCGCCCTGATCCAGTGCTGCCTGCTGAATCTCTAAACCATTCCCTAACTTTTCCCTGGAGTGGGCCACCAGGCTTACCTCCCCTTCCTCCACAACCATTACTCCTATGGCCCCATTCAATCAATAATCATGATAATTCCTCTGGGTTATTTGCAGTTTACCCATAGGAACCTTTAACTCAGGGGTTCTTAACTTGGGGTCCCTCACCCCAGGGGGTCCATAGTTGGACTTCATAGGATCTATGAAACCCCTAACACTAGGAATTCAGTGTCTGTGTTCTTATGCCTGTTTTCCAGAGGGCTGAAGCTTTCATAGATCCTCAAAGGTCCTGGATCCACAAAAAGTTAAAAACTATTTTAACTGAAAGTGGAGCTTTCAGCCCAAAGTTTCTGCAATGCAGAGTGAAGTGAGCACTGGCAGTTTGAGGTCTATTTTTAATTGTAAGTGGTCTTCGCAAGTGTCCTTGAAACTGATGGGGAGAGCTGGCACCCTCCGAGAAGTGGAAGTCCTCAGAAATTCTTGGCACACCTTAGGCTGTTGTACAGCCTACACCCCACATAACTTCATCCCCTCTCCCCCTCCGAACTGGAGCAGGTGTTGCAGACACGAGGGCCACAGCGTGTGGAAGTAAAGACTTTGCAGCTGGCGAGACCAGGTGTGAGGCTGCACTCAAGGTTACAGGCAGCATATTTAGCGATGTATTACTGACTTCACATCCCTTGCCTGGCTCTGCCTGAGGCTCAGTAGTGCATGATGTAGATAGTTCCAAGACTACCACCTGCCCCCAACACTTACTCTTGCCTAGTAGGAATAGCAGTGTCACCCTCTCACCCCGCCCTGTGCTGGGTACCTCAGACCCAAAACAGGGGACTGAGTTTCAAGTAAGAACTGTTATGCAGTCTTCTTGCATTACCACTTAGGCCACAGGGCTCAGCCACTGCTGTTGTGTTACATCCATCCCTTTGCAGAATCCCTAAGGAGCTTGTCACCTCTCTCATCCCTATTCCCCACCCCCAATTTTCTTCAGGTTACAAAAAGTTAAAAAAAAAAAAAAAAAAAAAAGGGACTTTAATTTTAAAATAAAGCATTTATGAAGACTTAATGAATTGTAAATAATTTTTCAATAAAATGAAAATGCTTTCCTGGAATGTGACTGGTTTCCTTGCCCGGAATCTGGGAGTTCTGAAGTGGTTTATTTGAGATGCAGGTTGGGTGGAGCTCACCTGTGATGATCTCACAGGGCCCACCTGCCTGAAGAGGTTCGGTTCTGAGACCAGGTGTGAGGCTGCACTCAAGGTTACAGGAAGGCTCCGGTGCTGTACTTTGGGAAGACAGGTAAGATTTTGCAGAAACAAATGCCAGAAATGGAAAGTAAAACTCAAATGAGAAGCCAGAGTGTGAATGAGAACAAGAAGCATTAAGACAATAATTGTTTGTGGAACCCATGTGATGTGTGAGGTACTGGTGGGTGCCTTCCAAGCTCAAGGTCTTGGGAGGAACACGAAGAGCTGGGGTGGGGGGAAGGGAGGAAGTTGCACATAGAAAAGCAAAAACTAGGAATAGCAACTGCTACTTCCAATATTTGTCAGGCCATCAACTAGAAGTGCCAGTGGGCTTGGTGTCTGTGGTTTAAAGGAATTGAGGAAGGGTGCTAGGGGAGGATGACAGACAGAGACCAAATTCTGGATCAAGGTAAATGATCTCTTTAATTAAGGTACTCCCATCAATAGAATGGGATGCTTCACCAAGTAGTGAAAGAATCCACCTTCCCCTCAGTTAAAAATGAACAGGTCAGGGACAATATGCAGAGACTATAGCCCTGAGAGAGAGGCTAGAGTTAATGACTTCTAAGACCCCAATCAGCCCTCAAAACTGTAGGATTTTATATAAACTCAAAGGCACATTAGAAAGGGGCAGATCCTATTAAAATAACTAGAATTATCTTTCAATATTTTAAAACTCAAGATTCAAATTCTACAGAACTGTTATGGGGAGATCTTTGGAGTCTCTGGAAAATATGAGCTATGTTCAAGTGGCTATAGCTGACTAGGAGGTGCTCCACTGCATTAGGTGGGGCTGTGTTCTAGAATCACTCTGAGTGATGGAATCCATGAAGTCCAGTGTCTTAAGTGATATATGAAGACAGCTGGCCTCTGAAGGACAAGTCCAGAAAATCGGCAAAGAGCTGGTATGCAAAGCGTTCACTAATGGGAAGCCTGTTGCAAGAACATGTCATTTTTATTTAGCAACTAGTACATCCCTCTATAGCATTATATATATGTATATATATGTGTGTGTATATATATGTGTGTGTGTGTGTGTGTGTGTGTATGTGTATATATATATATATATATATATATATATATATATATATATATATATATAATTGATTTCAGAGAGGGAGAGAAACATCAATGATGAGAATCATTAATTGACTACCTCTTGCACACCTTCTACTGGGGATTCAGCCCACAACCGGGTATATGCCTGTGACCAGAATATAACCCGGGACCCTTCAGTCCACAAGTCAACCCTCTATCCACTGAGCCAAACCTGCTAGGACTCTATAGCTTTCATTTTAAGCCATGGGTTACAACCTATTAGTGGGTCACAAAGTCAATTACATAAGAGTCTCAATCATTTTTATTTCTTTAGTGAAATGGAACATAACAATAAAACAGACTAGAAAATATCAGAATGCACTGCACGTAGCAAGGCTATATACCGTTTTGTGAAACTTTTGTTTCAGTTAACTGTGTGCATGTGATGTAAATATATTTTGTACTTGGCTGCACTAAAGAACTAAAGCTTAGGGCTAGGGACACAACCATGCGGAAAGAGCAGGGACACAGACACTCTGGGTAGAGGTGATGAGTTTTACTGACAGCCAACACCCACAATTACACATGGCTCTTCAGACAACTTGATCTTTGGGACTAGACTTTGTACAGAGTCAGGCAACACACAGAAGCGCACAAGGGATACAGGCAAGACTCTTGATTCTAGCAAGGGAGCAAGCTATCTACAACTCAGGATCAAAGTACCGTTTTATTCTTCTTAAACAAAGCTTAATTTGCTCTGGCCTTCGGAAGGCCTCTAATCCAGGCCTGCATCTCTTTTCAAGAGATGTTCTCTTCATGTGGGCCCAACCTCACCAGAGCAGCTTTCAGTCTTGCAATAGTCTCATCCATGATTGTAGACAACTAGACTGTGCAGCAGGGAACACACACGACAGAGGGCCGCTTTGGTGGTGCTGGTCTCGGTGGTACCTCTTTACTTGATTTTGGTGACTGCTTCATGGATGGAGGTGGCCACATAATCTAGGTTTTTGGTGGTTAAGCCACACATGTTGATCCGACCACTTGGCAGCAGATAGATGTGCTTTTCACTGACCAGATATTCAACCTGCTTGGCTGTTGAAAACAAAAAGAGAGATAATCAGAGTAGTAGGAATCCTTTAAGACTCCATGACAATTACAGTTTTCCTTCTTTGCCTCGTAATACAGAGAAGGAAAACCACAGGAGCTATTTTGTCCATTTGTACACAGGGAAATATCCTCAATGGATTCTGAAAACTAGTCAATGTTAGCTGACTTTCTAATCCCCAGCGCTCCTCCTCATGGGAATTTTAATCTGGGACTACCTCCCAACCAAACCTTGCACATCCCATTCACAGGACATGCTATCAATTGAAACAACCCTCAGACTTCAGAAGATTCCATTGATACGAAAAACTGGTTAGGAAGTGCTTCCTTCGTTTCTTCCTTAACCTGAATTTGCTCATCCCTGAGCACCTAGAAGCAATCTCCCTTGGACATTTCATTTTCACAGTACATTTTACAAGGCCCCATGCATGAGAGGAGCTGGGTAAATGTTGTGTGCATGAACCAGCGGGCTGGAAAACTGCAGACACTGCAGATCTGATCTGATCTCTCATTCAAACATAAGCAGGAGCACTTTTCCATGTTTGCAAAAATGCTCACGGATGGAGCAGGAAGGGACCGCCTGTACTTCCTTTATGCCACAATCTCCAGAGCTACTTTGCTTTGTTGCAAAGCCATGAGAGAATTTCAACTGATTTTTGTCTAGTTTGTACCCTTAAGACACCATCATTTGAGGGAATGGGATAATTGTTATGGACTGAATGCTTGTGTCACTCCCTCCAAAATTCCTGTGGAAACCTAACCCCAGTGTGGTGGTATTGGGAGGTGGAGCCTTTGGCAGGTAATTAGGTTAGATGAGGCCGTGGGGGTGGAGCCCCATGATGGGTGTAGTGCCCTCATAAGAGACTAAAGAGAGCGTGCTCTCTCGCCATTATGTGAGGATGAAGCAAGAACACGGCCACCAGCAGGCCCTGACCATGCTGGCACCCTGACCTAACGACTTCCCAGACTCCAGAACTGTGAGAAATACATTTCTGTTGTTTAAGCCATCCAGTCTGTATTTTGTTATAGCAGCCCAAACTAAGATGGTAACAAAATAATAATAATCAAAGGAGCAAACACTGTGCCAGCCAGTGTTCTAAGCACTTTATATTAACTCAGTTCATCTTTTTAAAAATTGGTTTTAGGAAGAGGGTGAGAGAGAGAGAGAGATGGCATTCTGGTGGCCCTGGTTTATAATACCTTCCAGGTACTACTCAGATGCCCCACTTACTACCAAGCTGGGCACAAAAGCTCCACATGCAGGTGAGTGGCTATATCTGCACCATGTGACCTGGACAGTGGGTGCTCGGGAATAACTTATTAAATGAAGGATCCCTCTGTCATTGAAAGGGACAGCCAATTGCAAATAGGCCCTACTGATGGCTGACCAGGATCATTCAAGGCTACCCACTGGGACATTCAACCATCTTTTAATTCCAACTACCAACCTAAGTTTTTACTTATGACATGAAAAGGTAACTTTGTAATCTCTTTTCTGAGGGCAATGCTTAAGAGACTAGGAAAGACCCGTTAAAGTAATTAGGTCCTTGCCCAGCCAGGTGGCCTTCGTTGGGGGGGGGGGGTCAGCCTGCAACAAAAAGATTACAAGTTCAATCCCCTGTCAAGGCTCATACGGGAGGCAACTGACTGGTGTTTCTCACTTCAATGTTTCTACCTCTCTCACTCCTTCTCTCTCTAAAAAAAAGTCAATTAAAAAAATTAGGTCCCTGAATAATAATATGTAATATTCATATTTAGGATTAAGGAAGAGTCAAAGAGTACCTAAGCATTTATGACAGGCCTTTCATAAATCAAGGCTCCAAGCCATAAACCCTGTTACGTCGCAGCTGGCTCTGAGCCACTGTCCAGCCCACAAAAATGAAAATATCTTGGTTATAGGACGCAGGACAGACCACAGTTATGCTCTTCTGAGACCCAGGGAGTTCAGGAGATGGATGGGGCACACTGAGAAAACGTAACTTGTTCTGGTCCAAAGTTCTCATTGACCAATTAGGCAACAACTAACGAAGCTGAGTCCAAGGACACTGACTGAGAAGAGTGCTGATTCCAATAGTGAGCACTGGGTGGGGGCACTTACTGTTCAACCCTGTGAAGCTGAACATTCCAATTTGCTCAGTGATGTGGTTCCAGGTTCCAGGGGTCTTGAGGGCCTCTAACCGTGCCCTGAGTTCAGACCTCATGGTCAGAATCCGGTCAGCCATTGTCTTCACATTACCTTTCCTGAGTGGACAGAGACACAAATACCAATGCAGATCGGAGAGATAATACATGAAAAGACAGAGGTTTAAAACCCACAATTCAATCTATAAGCTGAAAATGGGACTACCACCTGCTCATTATGGTATATGGGTGCCTGGATGGGGGATTTAAAGGCCAGAGAGATATGGTTACCAGGCAGAAGGAAAGGACTATCTTCACCGATGGAACTCAGTTCTAGTCTTGGGTGTACTAGCTATAATACCACCTGTGTTTTAACTCAGACTTCACCTAGGAGCTGATCTAGACAGAATATATATTTTTATCAGGACTCATTAAGTAGAGATTGCAGATTTAGCTACTATGTAAAAGTTGCTGTTTCAAATAAGATAAAATATATGTAAAGTTAAGAATGAAGAGCCCCCAAATTGTCACACTAACTTGAAGTTGGATATTCTATCCTATCAGGAATTCCTTCCTGTTTCCCCCCACTGTAAGGGGATGAAGCCTGGGTGGTGGGAGAGTGGGGGAAATGCAGATTTATCCGAGTGTCCCTTCCTATGTCCCCAGTGCTTGTGAGGCACGTGTGTTGTGTTATGCACATGAGAGTAGGTGGCAGCCCTACTTTGTAGAAATATCTGAGACTCAAGGAGGCTGAAGTAATTTTGTCTTGCCTCCGCTAAAATAAGAGGAAGAGGCAGTTAAATGTAACGGGGCACTTCCTGTTCTGCATCCCCACCCCTCGCCCTTCAGGCTGTGAGTGCCTTACCATTCCTTAAAGAGCTCGGGGTTAGAGAGGGTGGTGGCCACGATCCGTGCGCCCTGAGCAGGGGGGTTGGACCAAGTGATTCGCACAATCTTCTCCATCTGGGAAAGGACCCGCAGCATGCTGTCAGGTTCTTTGGCAACCACGGTCAGATTCCCCACACGCTCATCTGGAGACAGAGATGAGAATCAGCCTCGGAGGCCCCGATGGGGGCGGGGGTTGAGGGTGGGGCTGCAACTCAGGAGAGCACTCACTGTAGAGCCCAAAGTTTTTGGAGAAGGACTGGGCACAGAAGAGCTCGAATCCTTCAGACACAAAATAGCGAATGGCCCAGGCATCTTTCTCTAGGTTTCCAGATGCGAAGCCCTGATAGGCCGAGTCAAAGAAGGGAAACAGAAACCGGCGCTGCGAGGAAGGAAAGTGAGTCAGGCAGGACATCCTTCTGGAACCAACCTCAGACACTGCCTTTCCTTCCCCAACTGTTTCTGGAAGGAATTTCTGAAACTGCCCATTTCTCCTCTTTCTCTCTCTTTTCTGCATCTAATCACCATTTACATCTCTATTTCTCTGTTCAGCTAAACACCAACCTCTAAATCTAACCATTTTGGTAAACCTTGTTTTTTTAAGTATATCAACCCAGACCATCATGATGCCGCCTTGCCAGCAGGACTTTCGTATGGAGGCAATGCCTGTCCTGCATTGGCAGATTCTTTCCCACGAATTCCTGGTGTGATAAGCTCAGTCAAATGTTAGCTCCTTATCCCCAGGGCCTCTTCACAACCGCAAGGCTATTCTACCGGACAAGACGTTAAATGCTCTCTATTTCTTAGCCTCCGGTCTCCTCAGAGGGCTCCCCACACTGAACTCGCTCCTCCTCTGGGCTCACTCTCTACGTGGGCACCACCTCCCTGATCCCAACCATCCGGAAGCCAGGGCGCATCCTCCTGTGCCGCCTCTGCAGCTCATCCCTCACATCCAATCACCCTCCAAGTCCTATCACTCCTGTCTCCTGGGAGCTCTAGAATCCTTTCACATCTGTCACTGCCACCTACTTCACTCAGGTCCCCATCAGCGCCTCCTGAATTATAGTAATAGCCCCCTACGTGCCCCCCCAGCCTGTCTAATCCGGACTCCCTATGATCCATTCCCTGCCATGTAGCCAAGGTGACTTGAAGACTACGCACATCTGATCATGTCACTTCATGACATCAAAGGTTTTCATGGCTCCTCATTGCCCTCCGAATGAAGCCAGTGCCTCAGCACAGGCTCTGGTCCCCATTTACCTCTCTAGCCTCATGACTCACATTCCCCCAACGCCCTTGGAATCTAGGCCAGGAATTACTTTCATTTCCTTAGACAGGCCATGACCTCTTCCCCTTACAGGGAACATTCCTGCCCCTCCAGCCAGCCCCCACCTGTCCCCATCCCTCAAGTTTCAACATGGAAGCCACTTCTTCCAGGAAGGCTTCTTCTGCCATATCACTCCTCTGCCAACACACACACACACACACACACACACACACACTTCCCAAAGACCGGTCTATGTGCCTCTCTATAACTCCACCAACAAAACTGTCTCACATGACTGTTTCCCCAAACAGGTTATGTATGCTCTTTGAGGGCAGCTTTGTTCACTAGTATATCCCATGCTGCCAGTTATATAATAGTTTCTCAGTATTTTTAAAACACTAATAAATAACATATGTACACTTTAAACTAGAAATTCCAATCTAGAAAGTTACCCCAAAGAAGTAACACAAAAGAGTTTTATTACATAATTGTTCATAAGAGCAAGAAACCTGAGATTTTATTTATTTATTTATTTATTTGGGGGGGGGGGGGGGACCTGAGATTTTAATGTCCATCAACTGATCTGTGACAAATCCATCTCTATGTGACATGTCCATGCATGGAAAACAATGCTACAAAACATTTAATAACATGTAAGGAAGTTCAAATCAAAGTCAAAGTGTGTTATAAAATGAACTAGACAAAATGATCCCACCTTTGTAAAACAGATGTTTATATGTATAACTACACTAAAATAAAAATTAAAAAAAAAAACTTACATTCTGCACCAAAATATTGACAGTGGTTTTCTTTGGATAACAGGATTTACAGTTAATATTTATTTTCTTCAGGTTTTTTTTTTTGTCCACTTACACATTCTCCAGTAAATAGGTATGGCTTCTGAACACATTAAAGGTTAATACAGACTACTTATTAAGAGATGCTCTGGAAAGGCAGTTAGTTACCTTCATGACGGAGGCAATCTCCTTCCACTGCTCTGGAGTTGGGTCGGTTCCGGTTGGGTTGTGTGCACAGGCATGGAGGACAAAGATGGAGAACTCAGGAGCACTCTGAGGAAAGGGAAGCTACGTCAGCTTGGACACGAGCAGGACTCCCCTGCTTATCAACTGATTGAAAAACTTTTTCCTGCTCCCTATGGTTCTGCTTACTTTTTACTTTTTCATCTCATCACCCACCTCCAGATCCTTCAGAAAACCCTGGAGGTCAAGTCCTCTCTTGGCTGCATCCCAATAGTGATAGGTCCGAATGTCTTTAAATCCAGCGGCAGTAAACACAGCATTATGATTCTCTGCAGGCAAAGGGGTAAAAATGTAAACGGTTTTATAATCACAAGGAGGTGTAATTGTAAAGGACACAAGTCAACTTCCAGGGCCCTGGAATGTCCACTGGGTGACATCGAGGAGAGGAGTTAAGACTCAGAAGAATGGTTGTAACCAAAAACAAATTCAACCAGGCTTCTTCATGCTAAACTTATATCCTAATGGTCCCTGTATCTACATTCTGTGCCTCCTCTGGGAAGTTTTAACACACCTGAACACATGTCTACTAAGAGTCTTGGGAAAAAGTATTACTGATGTGAATTTAAGCATCGTATTACACGTGTCCTGCCCAAATCCACTGCTGAAGCCATTCCTAAATGTCAGTTGATCCAGGGCCAGATTACATTTTCTGGGTAAACAGTGAGAATCATGAGGATATTTGCTCCTAGTTTCTTTGTTTCTCCTCTTAATACGCTTAAAGAACTCACCCCAGGTTGGTGAGGATACATAGACAGGCGTGTCCTTGTTGTTTGTTCCATTGTACCATCGCGCGAGGAACTCGGCTCCGATTCGAAGTGCACCTGTTCCCCCTAAAGACTGCACACCTCCTACCTGAAAGGGAAGAAGCAGGGTCATGGGCTGATAATGGGAAGTCAGAAAATATCAGGGAAATGTAGTAATGATGAGCATTTATTTTGTGCCTGCTCTATGCTAAGCCCTTACATGTACTGTCTCATCACACCTCACAAGTACATAAAGAAGATACTTTATTTGCCCATGTTTACAAATGAGGAACGGAGGCTGAGAACTGAAGCACATTGCTCAATGTGGGAGTTAGAACTAACTATGAGCATCAGGGAACTATGGGCATTAGGGCTAACTATGAGCATCAGGGAACTATGGGCGTTAGGGCTAACTATGAGCGTCAAGGAAGTCTGAAGTCTGACTCTGAGGGGAGCTTCCCTTCTGAATACAGGGGTAGAGGTCATACCTAGGCCACATCAGAGTGTGCCCTGGAGGGCACCCCCCCAATCCCTTTGATACCCAACCCAAGATCAAAACTGCCCTCCAGCAGAAGCCTGGAAAATAATGTTTCCAGCTTGCCACTGACATCAATCTGCTTTCTCCTTCCGTAATACTGCTTTCTCCTTCCATAATGCAGACCTCAGAATCCTTAAACATATATTCTAATGAAACAAAGGTGACATGGGAATACTATCATACTTTCTCTCCTTGAGCTTCATCTCATCTTAAAATGACCTCACAGGGGCAATGAGAAAAGTCCTAAGTTTTACCATTTACCAAATACCTTCACATACATTCTTATTTGAATCTCATACAATCTCACGAAATAAGTTCTAGATCCGAAATTTACATGAGGAAACTGATTCAGAGAAGCGGCTTGCCAAAGAAGACACAGGTGGTGAGTAGCAGAGCTGGATATCAGGTCTTCTCACTCTAGTCATTATACCATTGCTGTTCTGCCTCTATAGCTTTGATTTTGCCCTTTCATGATTTAAACGAGGTTTTGGCATAACTCTTTCAGCAAGGAAATGTTTTAAATTACATGTTGCTTACTATGTCTATAGAATTAATGAGAAAGAAAGGAAAAGATCACATGGAAAAGCCTATATAATTAAAAGGAAGGGCACATATCAAACTAAAAATAGTGGCAACCTCTGCGGAGGGGCCTCAGCTATGGAGAATAGTGGTCAAAGGGACTGTAGCCTAACTTGTAAGTTGTCTTTTAAAAATAAAAATATATTCATGTATTATTTGTAAAATTTTAAAATAAATTTTAGGATCTGCTGTAAAATAATTCAGCTTTGGCAAGGCAGTGGGGTGGGAGGTATACAAGATTGACCAAATACAGATCATTGTTGAAGCTAGGTGATAGATGCATGGAGGTTTGCTCATTACACTGTTTTATCTATTGTTGTAGATATTTGAAATTTTCTACAATAAGATGATTTAAAAAGCCCAGCGGGTATTGCTCAGTGGTTGAGCATCAATTCCTGGTCAGGACACATGCCCAGGTCGTGGGCTCGATCCCCAGTAGGGGGTGTGCAGGAGGTAGCCGATCAATGATTCTCTCTTATCACTGATATTTCTATCTTTCTTCCTCTCTTTTCCTCTCTGAAATCAATAAAAATATATTTTAAAAAAAGAAAATGTGAAATGCACTAGACTAAGAGAGAGGGCTATATTCCACAAGTAAAGCCCCAAGCCTTACAGCATTAAGTGATCAGTAATGGGGAGTGTTGGGCAAAGGAACGAGTGTCTGCCCAACACAGTTAATAAATGTGTAAGAATGTCTTAGGGGAAGACACTCCCCAACACAGAATCTCTGTTTTTATTTGTCAACAGAATTCCAACTATCAGCAGCACCTCAGAAAAGAATCCTCAGTTGCCAAAATTCCCCACTTTCAAACTTCGTCAAGACACTCCTCTCCCTCTATGGAAACACCAGATTGTCAGAGCATGTCCCAACGCCACCCATAACCTCTCCACTCTTACATTTCTACCTGCATTCCCTTTCAGTTCCTTGAAGTAAGTCACCAGAATTAAGTGAATTACTTACCTAATCACCGACCTGGAGCCTCACTGCCTTTTGATACGCATAATAATGTGCCCTTGTGTAACCTTCACTAGACCCTGCAGTCCTGTTTATCAAAGCATACGGTAACAGCATGTGGGGATAAATCAGGTGTCGCCAAGATGTGGTCCCTTCCACTCGTGAGGGCGCACTAGACAATGGCCCAGGGGAGTGGTAAGGGCCGCTGGTTTAAATTGCATTATATCTGACTGAACTGTTGCAAAAACCTGAGCTCTTCCCCTTCCTACTCATCCAGCAAGTTTATCTTCTTTCAGACTTATATCAGGTAACTCCTCTGCTCAAACCTTCAGGTGGCTTCCCCTGCCCCGCTGCTAAAACCAGCCTGCCTGATCAGATAGGTCTCTTTACAGTTAGACCTTTTACCTTTGCCTTTAGCCCCGAGCTCCCACTACTTCAGTCAAATATCTTCTCTCTGTACCTTGTACTTTGGAATCACCTGGAGGGCTATTAAAAATATGCCCCTTGTCTGGCTGGCATGACCCAGTAGTTGAGCATCAACCTATGAACCAAGAGGTCACGGTTCAACTCCTGGTCAGGGAATATGCTTGGGTTGCAGGATCGATCCTCAGTTTGGAGTGTGCAGGAGGCAGCTGATCGATGATTCTCTCTTATCATTGATATTTCTATCTCTCTCTCCCTGTCCTCTCTGAAATCAATAAAAATATATTGAATTAAAAAAAAAAAAAAAAAAAGAACTTGCCGAAACCGGTTTGGTTCAATGGATAGAGCGTCGGCTTGGGGACTGAAGGGTCCTGGTTTCGATTCCGGTCAAGGGCACGTACCTTGGTTGCGGGCATATCCCCAGTGGGGGGTGTGCAAGAGGCAGCTGATCGATGACTCTCATCGATGTTTCTAACTCTCTATCTCTCTTCTTTTCTATCTGTACAAAATCAATAAAATATATATTAAAAAATAATAATAATAATAATTAAAAAAAAAAAAACTTCCCCATGAAGGGAAGGTAGTAAAAGGGCAGGATAGGGTGGTATCGTCCAAGATTCTGATTTAACTGGTCTGGTGTTGGGTCCAACCATCAGTATATTTTTAAAAACTCCTGAGATTACACTAACATAGCCAGTGTTGAAAACCAGTGTGCTAGTCTCATTTCCCAAGGTTCAGCGGAAGTCTCATCTTCAGTCATCACCAGCCTCCCCCTTCTCTGAATCCCTCCCTACAACACTGAGAATCTCCACCACACCACTTCCTGCCACATAGAGCCTCTCTCATTGGCTGCTTCCCAATGTGCTCCTCTTCCAAGGGTCTCTAGTTATCCACCGTCTATATACCAGGAAGCACTGCAATGAGAGAAGCCGCGACCAAGGCTGGAAGAATAAAAGGATACAGTACTAGTAAAACTGACAGGAACTTCAGAGAGCATCTAGACTAGTGGCTCTTGAACTTTTGGGAGCCACGGACTACTTTCGAAGATCTGATAAAAGCCTTATGAACCACAAACTAGTCTTTCGATAACACGTAAATGAGTCATAGGGGCCAGAGGGCTAAGTGATTTGCCTGTGGTCAAAAATAGTGGCAGAGCTGGTCCAGACCCTAGTCTTTTGATCAATCCATTAAATTCCCTTAGCTTGGCATTTCCTCTGCTTCAAATCCAGTAGCTGAAATCTGGTCATCAGTTGGGCAAAAAAGTGAACAACTCGCTGAAACCGGTTTGGCTCAGTGGTAGAGCGTCGGTCTGCAGACTGAAGGATCCCTGGTTCGATTCTGGTCAAGGGCATGTACATTGGTTGCGGGCACATCCCCGGTAGGGGGTGTGCAAGAGGCAACTGGTCAATGTTTCTCTCTCATCGATGTTTCTAGCTCTCTATCCCTCTCTCCTCCTCTCTGTAAAAAATCAATAAAATATATTTAAAAAAAAAAAAAGTGAACAACTGAAGAAGCTGTGCTTTACACAAAAGCACGTTATCTGCACTATCAGGTTCCTAAGGTCGCACTACTTAAACCCTGACTCATTGACAGGTCAATAGACATAACACCTAACATTTTCAAACAACTTGGATTTCCAACCTCTTTTTCACTTTCACAGTTCCTGAAGAGCAAACGTACATCCTCATCCAAAAACTCACCCGCTTCTCCCGGATGGCTGGGCTGTCTTCCCCGAGGGCAAGGCAGGAAGCGTGGGTCCGGAACTCCGGAAGGCCCAAGATTGGCAGATACTCGTGGTTTAGGTTAGTGTCGTTAGCAATCTTCTGCTCCACCTTCCTCACTACAGGCAAAACCCAGGGCTGGGAGTCATCCGTGCGATAAGCTAGAACATGGGGAAGAGTTACATAAGGGGATTGTATGAGGTTTTGTGCAAATAAGCGTTTGGAACTATGAACAGGGAAAGTTCTATCGCCATCTGATCAAAACAAACCAAAGTTCAGGAAGTGACTGCCCGCTTTGGGCCAAGCATTGGGCTAGGTGCTAGGCAAGTAGGAAGACAGGCATGGTTCCTATCCTTACAGAACTTATTGTTCTTAAATATATGATCACCGAAAAACAGAATGTTAAATTAAACTGGGACATCAGAGCCTGATGGAGTGACAATGCATGTGAAAGCCCTCAGTGAACTAAAATGACATATCTTACAAATGCTATGTCAGTATTACTAGTGCACTGAGGTCTCTATAGCCATTGGCTCAGCAATCGGCTTCCTTCTGTATTGCCAGAAAAGGGCTAGGTGTTACTTCAGATGAAGGCTGCACCTTCAGACATAAACATGCAGAGAGAGGCGTGTGAAAGGAGGGCCCACCTCCTCCTCTTGTCCCTTCAGAAAGGGGACAAATGACAAGCAAACGCCCAGTGACTGAAGAGTCCAACAACTGATTACATAATCCCTCAGCAGCCCACGGAAACACATTTGTGTCCTCTCTCTGTGTTCTGACATCATTCAGTGTTTACCATCTTAGCTGTTCCTCCCACTTCATGTGCTTCACACTTTTATTGATCTAATTGCATCTATTTCATAATATTTAATCTTGCTTGCAATCAAATTTCTAAGCACTTCTACACTAACAGTATTTTTTGTCCACTCTGAGTTATCCTACAACTGATTTTCTCCCCTTTTATACTACCCTGTGCTTATTTGGGGATTATGGCTTTAGAGGGCAGCTGTCCTGGCTTGCTCCCAAGCCAGTGATCTCTCTGAGTAGGATTCCTGACAGGGACCATTTGCCTCTCTGCTTGAATGTTTAGGTCTCCAACAAAGCCTATACTTTGGCAACTGCAAATTTTAGAGTAGTTCTGATTAACTTGGTTGATTTCTGCCCAATATTAATCCCTAACTTTAAAAAAAAAAAAAAAAATCACTTTGTGGGTGGTTGATATTATTTACTGAACGACACATGTTGATTGTAGAAAATTTAGAAAAGCCCAGAAAGTAAATAATAAACATTATGATTAACATGTAATCCCAGCACTTGCCGAGACCGGTTTGGCTCAAAGGATAGAGCATCGGCTTGGGGACTGAAGGGACCCGGGTTCGATTCCGGTCAAGGGCATGTACCTTGGTTGCGGGCACATCCCCAGTAGGGGGTGTGCAAGAGGCAGCTGATCGATGACTCTCTCTCATCGATGTTTCTAGCTCTCTATCTCCTCCCTTCCTCTCTGTACAAAATCAATAAAATATATTTTTTTAAAAACAAAAAAAACCTGTAATCCCAGCACTCAAAGATAAAGGAGTTTGAAATTGTTGGTATACAACCTTATAAGCTTTATTTTACATGATTATATTCTTTTATAAAATATGGATCAGATTGTATATAGAATTTTCAGTGTGCTTTTTTCCACTTACCAAATAACTAATTGTCTTGAACTATTCTTCTAATAGGCAACATATTCACATGCCCTCATGCCATCTTTATCTTCATTTAACCTAGTTCCAAATACTCTCACTCCGTGAATAAACTATTCTTAATTTCTTTGTGTAGAAAAGGGAATAAAGATTCTTTTTCCAGAACTTCCTAATCATACACAAGGAAATACAGATATGTCCCACCTCTTTTCACATAAAAGGTAACATATACCATAATATACATGTTTTGTTCCTTGCTTTTTCCACTTGAATATATTTTTTGTAGCTGTGCATACAATGTTTTTGTTCTTTTCTACAGCACAAAACTGATGAGTGTACTATAATTTATTTTGTCAGTCTCTTGTTGATGAACATTTGAGTTGTTCCTATTCTTTGGCTATTACAAAACTTCAGTGAACAACCTTGTGCATACATCATCTTACACATGTGAAATATATCTGTTACATGTAAGGTTGAAATGGTAGAGTGGGCTGAGAAATATGTGCATTTGTGGTTTTTGACAGACATGTCCAAATTGTCCTCCATCAGAATGTTATCAGTTTACATTCCTACCATCAACGATACAAGACTTTCTGCTTCCCCACACAGCCTCACCTGCCAAGTGGTGTGTTTTTTGTGTGTGTATGTATGTGTGTGTGTGTGTGTGTGTGTTTGTTATTGTTGGTGTGTTTCTTTGCCAATGTGAGAGTGCAAATAGAATCTCAGGATAGTTTAATTTGCATATATCTTATTATAAAGGCAATTGAGCATTTTTCAAATATACATGAGCAATTTTAGTGGCTAAACAATATTTGTAAATTGTATGTTTTAAATAAATAAAATATGAGATCAAGAAAAAGCTACAGTATGGCTCTTACCAGTAATGTATACTCTGTGCAACTCTGAGAAATACTAATGCAACTGGTGTCGGGGAGGCAGTGTGTCTATATTGTGACAAAAGAGAAATTGGCCAGTTTAAACTCCCTTCCCTGCTTCCCTGGGTTCAGTTCCAGATATATTCCCAATACTTCACCTAAATGGCCTAATGAGACAGAACTGCGGATTCCTCTTGGGTGACTAGAGCATTATCAACAACCACTGTTCCTGCTGCCCAAGGGATTTTATTCCTGTTTCTGGACTAATACGTTTCTCTATTCTCTCATTCATTTCACAAGGATTTACTGAATCTATCATGAACCAGGGACTGGCTACAAGTAGCTACACAAAGATGGATAAGATAAAATAAGACCTTGCCCTCCAGAAAACATAGAGAGAATAGAGCCATTACTTTCCTGTGAGGGGTCAGGGGAGATTTTGTAGACAATGAGGTAAGAAAGGTATAAAATATAAAGAAAGACAAGCATTCCATACAGAGAGAACACCTGGCAAAGTCCAAAAGGCTTGGAGAGATAAGGTTTTGGAGGATCTGCATTTTCATGGTTGGAATGTAGGATCCATGGAGGAATACCAATGAGTGGCTCAAAGAGTCTTAGAACTTTATTTCACTGGGCAAACCACTGAAAGCAAGAGAGTGATATGGAGCCCTAGCTGGTTTGGCTCAATGGATTATAGCGTCAGCCTTCAGACTGAGGGGTCCCAGGTTCGATTCCGGTCAAGGGCACATGCCCAGGTTACGGCTTGGTCCCCGCTGTGGGACCTGCAGGAGGCAGCCAATCAATGATTCTCTTTCACCATTGATGTTTCTCTCTCTCCCTCTCCCTTCCTCTCTGAAATCAATATATATATATATATATATATATATATATATATATATATATATAGAGAGAGAGAGAGAGAGAGAGAGAGAGAGAGAGAGAGGGGGGGGGGGGGGGGACTAGGACAGCTGTAATAGGATCATTTGACTGACACGATAGAAAATAACTGGAGAGGAGGACAGAGGCAGATAATTAAGTCAGGAGGTTACTGCAATAATCCCAAAGGAAAATAATGAGGTCTTGAATTAAGAAGCAGCAGAAGGGATAAAGAAAAGGAGAGATTATTAAAAAAATATTTATGAGGTAAAAAAGACAAAAGGTAATAACCAAGTAAATAGATATGGGATCCAGGAAAGGGTCCCTGATAACTCCAAAATCTGTCTCTGGTTTGGATAATGACTGGTGGGGGTGGAGTTGACCAAGACATAGATCATAAGGGAAAGAAAAAAAGAAAAGGTTGAGGGGAAGGTGAAAGTGATGAGTAGTGTTTTAAACATGTTGTATTGGAGGTGGTTGTAGGATAGGCCCAGCAAACTATAGCAAATGTGGGTCCGGTTTTTAGGGAAGTTCATGATGTAAAGAAGCCAAAGCCATTGCCATAACAAGGACCTACTGAATACTTAGCACATATGAGGGACCATGCTAAATGCTTTACTTTTTTTACTCTCAATTCTTTTAACAACTCACAATATAGATACTGTGATCCCTATTTTAGGGATCTAGAAACTGAGACCAGAAAGGCTAAATAAATTTTAAAAGATCACAAGGTCTATAAGAACCAGACTGTCATACTTAATCTATATGTCTTTTTTAAGAGTAAGAGATGTATAGAAAAAGCCCAAATCAAACAGGTCCCGGAGAACTGTGTGAGCGGCCTTTTTATCAGCATGCTCCCCTCCTTGTAGCACTGCAGTTATCCCTGGGTAGAAACCCCTTTAAAGGAGTCATACAGGTTTCAGGTGAGTCCAGCAGTCTTGCTTTTCAGACGAAAGGAACAAAATAGAGAACTAAAAGATGAAACCATCACCCTCTCTTCCTCCTAAGATTTCCACTTCCTTTACCCATTCCCACTCCAAGGCCCTTCTCCAACAAAGGTTCTGGGGAAAGGGCCAGGGGTACTCAGAAACACCTACTATAGCACATCTCTCCAATAATTTTATCTGAAGATGCCAGGACCCACACTAAAAATGACAACAGATATTAAAGTGAGTACAGTTTGGAACAAAAGAAAGCTACGTTTACATGACAAATGGACTGCGGTCCATGAAGAAATGTCTTGCTTCAGGCTGGACCCATGTCTCCCCAGCCTAAAGCCATTTGTCTGAAACTTTGAGAAGCACTAAAACTGTCAACTCAGAGAACATCACACTAACAGTGGAAAATGTGATGCTCTGCTCTAGCTATAAGAAAATTATGCAAATAGTCATAGCAAAAAGAAACTCTCTGGAGAAATAATCTGCAAGTAGCAACTAACTAATGAGATTATGGTTGCAATTTATTCGAAACATGAACTTGAGCTGGATAATCATCATTGGACTTTAGCTTGGAGGAAAAGGAGTTTGGTGACTCAAAGTTAGTGACTAATTACATTTCATTCACAAAGAAGATATTGTGGGATGAGTATTCAACTAGCACATACAGAGGCTGAAAGAGATTTCTTGTTCTACTTAACTTTATTTAGACCCTTATCCGTCACCTGTCATCCATAAAAAGGTCACAGTAAGCATCAAAAATAACATTTATATAACTTTATTTACATATCACATTTCACATATTTATTTAACCTTCAGTCAACGGAAGAGGCCAGTAGCATTATTATCCTACCCATAGTCAGGTAATGTGCTAGTGGATCTTACAGTAGCATTTTAAAGAAAGGGCATTCTGCCCTGCCTCTTCATTTCAACAACTTGAGTCTGTTAAATAACCCATCCAAGGTCATGTCACTGAGTCTGTACCCAGGTCTCCTGGCTCTTCCCACCATAGTGCACTGACTGCCTCTGAGCGCCTGCAAGTACCCAAAACAGAAGAGGGAGCAGAGACCCAGAAGTGTGAGAGGCCTGGCCTAGAATCATAGTTCCACACCACCAATGGCCACATAACTTGCCTGCTTCATCAGCAATAGTGACAACCCTGCAGTGTCACTGTACGCATGAGATGAGATTAAATGCATAATCATCCTATATAATAAAAGTCCAGCGACCATAACGGCACAACACCAGAATGACCGCTCGACCAGTTGCTTTGAGGTGCACTGACCACCTCTCAGTCCTTTGCCCTCCCCCACTCCTGGCCTGCAGGCTCCAATCACCAGATAGCATACGGGGGAACCAGAGTGGGTGGCAGTGGGGCAGGATGGGACTGGCGAGGGGAACCCAGTGAGTGGTGGCAGCAGGGTGGGACTGGGAACTGGCAAGTGGGCGGAAGATGGCCTTGATCATAGGCTAGGCCTAGGGACCCTACCTGCACACGATTTCATGCATTAGGACTCTAGTTTGCTTATAATAAGGAGGTGAAGTTCCTGGGTTCCTGGAAAACATGACAAAGGCACTGTCACAGTTGAAGGGAACTTCTGAGCTAATTATGCATCTGAGTCAATCACGACTGGTCTGGGCTGGCAGGGTGCTTTTTCTCTGCATAAGCACTTTACTGCTGAACCAATGCCAGAAACTGCCACTTCGCAGTTCTTGAACTGAAAATTTTTATTCAACATTTTTTATGTGACCCACCCAAAGAAATGCCAAAACAATAACAGCAATAGCTAATATTTACATAACTCCTACTTATGTGCCAGAAACTGTTCTGTGTAACTTTAGATGTATGTAATCCTCATAAAAACCCAGTAAGATAATTCAAAGGTAATTGAGTCAATAAAATCTGAGGTTTTAAAAAATATATTTAGATCTATATCAATATTAGCTCTCCACCATATATCTTGCCCTAAGAAATACTTGGAAGTTTGGATTGGACTTAAATGAGAGGTTGAATGGTACCCACTTTAATTCAATTCAAGGCAATCTTTCGATGTTTCTCCTACTCTACAGCCTGCCAGAAATATCACTTTCCCTCTGTGGATGAAACTACTTAGTATTGATTTAAAAATGCTTTCTTATGAAAAATGTCAAACATCTACAAAATTTCAAGAATAACATAATGGATTCCTATGTACCCATTTCCTAGCTTCAACAAATCACCAGCTTCAACAAACCCTTACCTTTTAATGGCTTTTTCTTATCCTTCCCCCATAATCTTTGGTGAAGTCTTTTTAACAGATCATATGCACAGACACAAACAGTCGCAGTGGGTAGCCTGATTCTGAACTGCCTTCCTGCCACCCTCTGCTATAAAACAGTTCAACTGTCTGTTTTTAAAAGTTTTACTCCTTTGCCCAGCCAGTGTTGCTCAGTGGTTGGGTGTCAACCAATGAACCAGAAGGTCCCAGTTCGATTCCTAGGCATGGTCAGTATTAGGTTTGATTGAGCAATTGAATTGATACCTCCCCCCCCCCCCCCCCCCCGGGAACTGGCTTTTCCGGTCATTTCACTATAGACATTCCCTTTTGCTGAAGACCACATTTCACTTGCGGTGACTACATTCCATTCTCTCCCTTCCGGGTGTGCATAAAGAAGTCTCTATCTAGAAAAAAAGCCTGCCACGAGTCCTTTAAAAGCCGCTGACTCCCGTGTCACTGGGTACTGAAGCCATCCAGGCTCAGCCACCTGGTGTGCAGAAGAAGATCGAATAAATTTGTGATCCCTCACCACTCTGGTCTCCTGCATACCTCCTTCGGGGACCTAACCTAACAGTCAGAGCACACGCCCAGGTTGTGGGCTCCATCCCCAGAGTAGGGCCTGCTGGAGGCAGCCGATCAATGATTCTCTCTCATCTTTGATGTTTCCAGCTCTCCCTCTCCCTTCCTCTCTGAAATCAATTATATATATATATATATATATATATATATATATATATATATGCAAAGTTTTACCCCTTTTAGTCAAAGTCTGTTCCCTAAGCATTGAACATCAACCCACTGATTTTCTTCTTCCTGGCTGGACTCTGTATGTGGTCCAGAAAGGGTGTGGAGTTTCAAACGATGGTGATATAAATAAAAATTTCACCAGAGAAGATTAAAGTTAAAGGAATTCAAGAGGCACTTAAAGTCCAAATCTTTTTCTTGGCAGAAGCAGAAAACTGAGGCCCATGCTATGAACTGTTCAAGGTCCAAGAACTACAAGCAAGAAAGGAAGACAAGGATGTGTAGAAAATGAGTTTCTAATGTCTTCCGACTCCTTTCCAACATCTCTACTCGTTCCTACCACTTCTAAAGACTGGGACATTCTTCCCAGGTCCCCCCAGGGAGCCTTAACCTGCCACAGAAGCATTTTCCATCTCTTTTATCTCACTTAATACCTACTTCTTGAAGTCAAAACAAAGCCTCAGTCTTCAACACCCCCTTCTCTGTCTCTCTCTCTCTCTCTCTCTCTCTCTCTCTCTCTCTCTCTCTCTCTCTCACACACACACACACACACACACACACACACACACACACACACACACACAGCTTGGGAAAGTACCTGACTAGCATCTGGGAGTCACTCACATAATTACTGACTCAGAACAAAGCTCCCTGGGGCTGAGTTCTCACTTGTCCATCAGCAGGACTCCAAGCCTATCAGGCTTCCTATCTCACTCTCTCTTCCTACAATCTCTGGCCGCCCATTTCTTACCACGTTAAGAATGGAGTATTAAGAACACAGAATGGGGATTGGGGGGGGGGCCGAGGGGGGGACTGAGCTAGCGTCCTGGCCTCCACTTCTGTTCTGTGTGACCTTGGGCACATCTCCCTTTGCCAGGGGCTCAGATACCCATTTGTAAAATAAGCAGGTTGAATGAACTAAGCCTCCATGATCTTGCCTCCTCCCCGATCCCTACCCCAGTGCCAAGCTGGCCTCCGCCTCTCCCCACAGTCCCCAGAGCCCCAAGTCAGGTCCGCTCCTCTCCCGGGGCAACTCACGTGCCCGGGCACGGCATCTTTACCTCCCACTCCCAGGTTGACCTTGCGGGTATCTGGGTCCTCCCGGAAGTCGGCGGTGAGCTTAAAGACCAGGACCGGAGGGGCCTGCGGGACTTCGGCGAACACTGACGGCGGCGCCATAGCGAGAGAGCTGGGGTCCGTGAGGCTGGAGCCGCTCGGTCGGGTTCCGTCGCGCCGGCTGGAGGAGACTGTCACCTTCAACTAGGCGGCGGGGCGGGGCGGGCCCGCGGCCTCCAATGGGTGAGTCGCGTCCGGAGCTTGGCAACGCGGTTAACCAATCGCCAGCCTCTGACGCACGGGGACAAGGGGAACAATACCACCAATGCCAGGTACGATGTCGGAACTGGGGGCGTGGCGCAGAGTGATTGGCAGAGCGTGGTCCTATCGCGGAGGCCATTGTTCCGGGCGGCCGAGGTTTAAGGGGCGGAGCCGAGCGACGACCAGAGTGTCCCGGAGGCGTCGCCATCGACCTTCTAGGGATCACACAGGGCAAAGGAGCGGTGGCCGGCGGGAGTGACGGCGGAGGGGCCTTCCGGTACCGGTCCGCGCGCGCTCCTGACCCGGCCTGACCTGGCCCCGCCTGGCAGCCAAGTCCCCGGGGCCGCGCTCGGGACGCCGGTCCCCGGGCCAGGACGTGCAGCTCCAGAACCGGCGCGGGCGACCTTGACCGTCGCCAGCGGTTAGCTCCGGAGGGACATGTGGGCGGGCCGCGCGCCTTGGTCTCAGACCCGGGACATCCTACTAAAAAGTGAGGGAGAGGCCGGGAATTCCTGTCTGCCGCCGTTACAGTTTGAGATTGTGGTCTCCCTTTCCTTACAGACAAGGCCTGGGCCTAAGGGACTTTCCGGATCTGGGCGCCGCTCCTGCCCTGCTTTCCCTTCCCGGGCACGCACTCAGCCTGATCTTTGCTGTCCTCAGCTGGCTGGTCCCCAGACAGACTCTTCTCTTTCAGTCAGGCTGTTCCTTCCCCTGAGTATTCCTCCTTCTCCCCCCAAACCTGGTGACCTCTAAGACCCAGAGTAAATGCCTCCTCCGTAAAATCGTCCCTTAATCCGCACTCTAGTCAAAACCCGTCTCTTTCCTTTGCATCTGACGCACCTTGATAGCAATATGACTGTTTTAGAAAATGCCCTAGGTTAAGAACCCATGTCCTAATTTGGGTTTTGGTTCTGCCACTTACTAACGTGTGCAGGTTTAGACAAGTTACTTGACCTCTCTGTTCTGCTCCGTGAAGTGGAGATAATAGTATTTTCTTCAGGGGATTATGTGAGTTAATATGTGTGTGGGGTTTGTTGGGGTTTTTTATTGTTGTTGTTGTTTGTTTTGGGTATGTATGTGTGTGTGTTTGTTGCATCTACCGTGTTTCCCTGAAAATAAGACATCCTCCGAAAATAAGACCTAGCACATGGAAAGATAAGACATCCCCTGAAAATAAGACCTAGCGCAACTTTGGGAGAAAAAATTAATATAAGACACTGTCTTATTTTCAGGGAAACAGGGTAGGAAGCACTCCTTAAATGCTAGCTTTTGTTATCATTGCTCACCTGCCGCACTCTGGTAGGTGGTAAGCTTCTTTTGGCTAGAGAGCTTATCTTGCATAAGTCTCCCTCAGGTTCTTGCACGTAGTAAGTATTCAGTAAGTGGTGGAAGGGAGCGTCAGTTCTCGTGGTGTGTCAGAAGAAAACCATACCTCAGCCTCTGTTCATTGAATAATACAGCAGATCTCCAAATGAATTTCCACTAACAGCAATAAACACAAGCCAAAAGAACTTTAAGCAACACTTGCCAACCTTGGGTCACTGTTCTTTTCAGAAATATTGCCTTTGGTTTTAAAGGTAACTGCCCACAGTGTTTCATTAACAACACTTTCCTCCAAGATTGCAAGTTTAAAGGTGAAATGACAATGAACTTTCAGTGCTTCCAAAAGCACTGGCAGAAGGCTACTGCTGAGAGGCGTGTTTTATAGCCCAGCCTCTCCAGAGTTTGAATAGAGCCGTGATCTTCACAGTGTTGGTCAACGATATGGTCCCTCCTTACGTCATTCCCGAGGGGAAAAACAACCTGAGGTTAGCTAAACACTATCAACTTAGCTAAGTCCAAATAAATATTTATTGATAACCTAAGCTGCTCCATAACCAAGTCAGTGCTGATAGAGGCAAAAAAAAGTGCCAATATGCATGCAATTTTTCTCATGTCTGCATGATATCTGTTGTGAATTTTCAGAAAGGGCAAACAGTTACTAGGGTGGGTGGGTGGGGAGAGAGGGGCTGGAGACAACATATGTGGGATCCAAGTCTCACACCCTTTTCCTTAGGAATATGAGGTTCTTGGACTTTAAGTTCAGTACCCTTCTGTCTTGAGCCTGCAGGCTGTCCCTCTGCGTAAAATGCCAATCTTGGAATAAACAAAATGCTTTCCAAGCCATTGCTAATTTTAACACTTTGACTTAGAATTGATGCAACACTGCCTGGCTGCTGAATGGATAATTCAAGTAAAAGACTCTTGAGGCCAACGCTGCCAGGGCAAGTAGGCAGCCAGGTAGCGTGAGTGTCCAGGGAAAGGGCAATAAAGGTCAAAAGAAAAATGTTTAGACAACCTGAGGCTGTTCTTCCCACAAGGGATGATATAGGAATGACCATGTTGGTCAACACTGTGAATATCATACCTCAAAGTCAATAATTCTTAACACGTTAAGCGCCTAGCCTGTTTTGTGTACCGGGCAGAAGTATAGCGTCAGTTACCGGTGACTGGCTGGGCACTTAACGTGTTAAGCATTTAAATATCCACCCTAGCATCCCTCTCTGTCTCCCACCCCCATAGTTTCTTCAATGTTGTAAGAGAAGATCTGGGAACAGCTTCACCTGGAATGAATCCCTTTGGAATATATTCTCTTGGAAATCTGAAGCCTTCAGGGCTGTGCTACTGGGCCCAGAGCATGAGGCAGGCCAGGCCAGGGCCGCAGTGAGTGTGGGCCTCTAAGCAACCCCCACTCCTGCTTATGGTATCCAATCTTGCCCCTGATACCCAGAGGTCTAAATTTAGAAACAAGTCAGGGGAGGGAGGAATTATTCACACTTTACATTCAGTTACAAAATGGCTTGAAACTGTTATATTTGGTATATGCTGTCACTAAGAGGGGGGTGTTATTTAGCAGCTGAGCTGTGTGCTGAACACATATTTCTTTACAAACCAAAACTGTAGCTAAGGTCCCTGGTGCTTCGGGAGCTACAGGCTTCAGTGAAGATATGGCCACACCACACACAACCAGACCCCAAAATGGCACAGAAATGCCATTAATTAACCCCAATCACAGATACGAACCTCTTGAGGGGGTAGACCCCAAGTTCTTGAGGAACATGTGCTTCACCAAGAAGCACAGTAAGAAGATCCTGAGGAAGATGAAGGCCAACAACGCCAAGACCATGAATGCATGTGCCAAGGCTGTTCATTCTCTCGCCAAGCCCAAGGTCTCAAAGGGTGGCATTTGCCTTTGCTATTTATTTACTTTGTTCATTGAATGATGAGCTGCATAGCAGAACAATGCAATCAAATTCTTGTTTTACCTCTTACTAGTTTTGAAGTTTTGAGTCAATTACTTAATGTGTCTTAATTTTAATATTTGCAACTGTAAACTGGGGCGAAGAGATTTTGCTTAGTGTTGACGTACACACGCCTTTAATAGTTTTAGAAATTATCATTGCCATATGATACACTTTAGTCCCTGAATAGCTGTAGGATAATAATTTAGCTAACTCTCTTTGAAGTTTTTTTGCTCTGGCCCCTCTCTTGGAGGCATATACTCTGAAATTTTTTAAAAATGAAAAAGAAAGCAGTAAACACAATTTTAAAAATTACGTTGAGTTTTCCAGAAGTCTTGTAGTGTGCAGTAAAAATCTCAAAGCAATTTAAAGGTAGCAAGACAACATATTTAATAGGTTTAAGAAATGTTAATAATAGCTCTTTGTATTTCTATATTATCTTTTCTGAAGAATAGAAAGTGTTTTAGAAACACTATTCCTCTATTCTTTCACCATCCCTAAGTGACTGTCATTATGTGCAGTTGAAACAAAAAGAAACTGGATTGACTTAACAGCAAATGAAGACACTCAAATGACAGAAGAACTGCAAAGATACAAACCTTAATTAAAGTCAGAGGAAAATTTCCTCTCCTTGGCCTGTTTCTCCCTAAATGCATCACTAATACAGCCAAGTCTGATAGAGTAATGTGTTAGCATTTTTCCCCAAATTGTGATGTCCTTTTTATTGAGCCATATGCTTTGATACGAGATGAAAGTAGATAAAAGATAATGAAGGGAATAAATTCAATGTGTTTGCTAAGAACTTGTTTATTTTAGACTAAAGCAATGTACTGTAATAGATTGTCTTAATTTATCCCACATAGCTAGCAGGAAAATAGAAGTATGTAGTTAACATTTGAACATCCAACAGTAGAGGGCAGCACTGCCCATCTTTTGCAAAATACAGGGTATGGCGAAAGTAACTTTACAGTTCTTTGGAAAATAATATAATGAATTAATAAATAACAATAAAAGAGTAAATCTGTGTTTTGTAAGCCTACTTTTGCCTAAATATGTATTGAGTGCTTATGAGAAGGAAAATAAAAGCAAAGCTCTGGTTATTGTATGTGTTTACTTTTGCCTAACACTTTTCAAAAAGTATTTTTCTTTTTTCTTGATTTATTGATTTATTGATTTTAGAGAGAAAGAAAGGGAGGAGAGATTGAGAGGTTTGTTGTTCCACTTATTTATGCAGGTTGATTCCTGTATGTGATTGAACTGGAAACCTTGGTGTATCAGGATGACACTCTAACCAACTGAGCTACTCGGCCAGGGCCAAAGTTTTTTTTCTTATTGTTTAGGTGATTACATAGAAAGAATGTCAGAGCCTGTATAGCCTTGAAGTAACTGGTGGAAAACGCAGGAGGTTTTAGGTTCTCCGCTCAGAATATGGGTTCCGTCTGGCAAAGATAAACAGTAGCTTGACCCTGGACAATCAGATAGGGCTATTGTTATGAACAGACCCAATGTTCCTGCACTTTCTGGGCAGGAGTCAGTCTACTGAGCTAGCAGGATGTGGTTTAAAATGTGTATAACTCGTTG